GACGCTGACCCTGCGGGCGGATGTGTCCTGCTACACCCTCCTGGGCCTGACCCCTGGCCAGGTGTATGCGGTGAGACTGCGGGGTCAGTCCGGGCCCTTCAGCCCACAGGTGCTGTACCGAACCACAGACTTCAGCACAGGTACGGCAGGGTGAGCCAAAAACACCACCCACACCACCAACACCACCCGCTACTGACCCCACCCCCCTCACCGGTGGAGGTGTGACTGTGGGCGGGGCCGCAGGTGATCCGGATCTGCAGGTAAGTGTTCAGGCGTCAGTCACAGTCCGCCGTGGAGGACGAGCGCTCGCTGCTGGAACACTCAGGTTTGTTTCTCCCTGGTCTGCTGTTCCTGAGTCTGCAGCTCCGTCACCGCCCGCATTACCAACACCTCCCACTAGAGCTGCAGAGGAGCACCGCATGCGTGTCGGGATCCTCTCCCACACCTTCAGGATTCACTTCCCTCTGGAATGGAGTGTGAACTTGTTTTAGCAGCAGATGGCGCTCTAGGCTAGTGTTTAACAGCAGATTACGGCTCATTTTGACCAGTAGGTGGCATTAGAGGCCAGCAGACGGCGCTATAGGCTAACAGAACAGTGTAAAGTGCTTGGACCTCGATTAATTAATGTAAACAGCTCACCGTCAACACTTAAGACAAACGGGAGGCACGCAGAGTTCAGCTGTGTGTAGAGCCCACAGCGCCCTCTGCTGCCGGACGCTGAACTCACCATCCATTACACAGAGAATCCAGAATGTCTGGGAGTGACTCCCGATTCGTGATGCATCTCCACAGCTCTACGCCCCAGTCCAGTTTGCAGTGTGGCACAGAGATCAGTGTAGTGTGTGTGTGTGTGTGTGTGTGTGTTCCTTCTCTCCTTCATTAGCAGCTGAATGTGGGCCAGCTCTCACCGGAGCGCCGCATATGTGTCCGTCCTGACGCCATACACTCACCTTCTTCATCCCCCACAATCCCCTGCACAGCCCTGGCGGACACACGTCCTCACCGCGTGGCTCACCTGAGACTGTGTGCGTGTGTGTGTGTGTGTGTGTGTCGGAGTCTCATGTTTTGCCATGTGTGTGTGTTTTCCGACAGACGTGCCGAGGAATTTCTCTGTGAATTTGGCCACAAAGACGAGTGTGTTGCTGACCTGGGAGTTTCCGGAGAGCAGCGCCCCCTACCCCTTCACTGTGAGTCACACACACACACACACACACAGGAAAACACACACTCTCACACACACAGGAAGTCTGTGGAAAACACTTCTGATCAGTGCTGGTTTCTAATTGGTGTATTGCTGCTCGTCATTACTTAGTGTAAAGTCATTTAATATTCAAAATAATTAATATTGCCACTCCCTCTTCAGCAAACTCTCTTTTCTGATTGGTGTTTACTGATATCCACTAATAGGAATCCACCCAAACATCCAATCAAATGCTCAAATTCCACATCAAGCCTTTATACTGAAATAACACACGCTTCAAACAATGCATGAGGGTAAATTATGTGGGCGTGGCATTCTGACATAAAGGCGGGTCTGAGTGAGATGTGGGCGTGGCAGTCAAAGATAAAAGCGGGTCTAAATGGGATGTGGGCATGGTGGTCTGAGATGTGGGAGTGGCAATCAAACATGACGGCGGGGTCTGAGTGAGATGTGGGCGTGGCAGTTAAACATGAGGCAGGTCTAAGAGAGATGTAGGTGTGGCATTTTTTATTGGATGTGGGCATGACAGTCAAACATGAAGGCGGGTCAAAGTGAGATGTGGGCGTGGCAATCAAACATGAAAGCGGATCTGAGTGAGATGTGGGCGTGGCAGTCAAACATGAAGACGGGTCTAAATGAGATGTGGGCCTGGTGGTCAAACATGAAAGGGAGTCTGAGATGTGGGCGTGGCAATCAAACATGATGACAGGTTCTGAGTGAGATGTGTGGCAGTCAAATATGAAGGCGGATCAAAGTGAGATGTGGGTGTGGCATTTAAATTTGAAGGTGGTTCTGAGGGAGATGTGGGTGTGGCATTTAAATTTGAAGGTGGTTCTGAGGGAGATGTAGGTGTGGCATTTATCGAGATGTGGGTGTGGCAATCAAACATAAAGGCGGATCTGAGTGAGATGGGCATGGCAGTCAAACATAAAGGTGGATCTTGGTTAGATATGGGTGTGGCATTTAAACATGAAGGCGGGTCTTAGATAGATATGGGTGTGGCATATAAACATGAAGGCGGGTCTTAGATAGATATGGGTGTGGCATTTAAACATGAAGGCGGGTCTTAGATAGATATGAGTGTGGCATTTAAACATGAAGGCGGGTCTTAGATAGATATGGGTGTGGCATTTAAACATGAAGGCGGGTCTTAGTTAGATGTGGGTGTGGCATTTAAACATGAAGGCGGGTCTTAATTAGATTTGGGTGTGGTATTTAAACATGAAGGCGGGTCTTAGTTAGATGTGGGCGTGGCATTTAAATATGAAGGCTGGTCTTAGTTTTATGTGGGCGTGGCATTTAAACATGAAGGCGGGTCTTAGTTAGATGTGGGTGTGGCATGTGAATGCAGAGTGATTCAGATTTACTCTAATAGAACACACTTGACTTACTCTTTCGGTGGTTCAGGATCGCTGCGTGTGCTCTGCAATGTTAATTATATTGGCTGCACATTTCGGTTTAGTTTTAGTTTGTTTCATGTTGATTTGTTTCAGGAGGACACGTCCCGTGTCGACCAGAGCAAAGTCTGCACTGCTGCATTACCTCTTCTCTTACAATTAATTATAAATAAATAATAAAAAAATAATCTTTTGTAGTTAAACATGTGTTTGGCGCCATCTACTAATGTTTAAACAGCCGCAGCTCAGATTTTCTGCCACAGAATGAGTAATTATTAATTTTGAAGACAGATTATTTGTTTGATAATTAATATTTTATTTTAGGTCGTTTTTAAGTCGCTTTAGTTTTTATTTTTTTGTGAATTTTATATTTAATGTTGATTAACACAAACGTGTCCCCTAGGTAGGTGGCTCTCGGGTGTTTGGAGCAGAGCGTGTTTACGTCTATCAGACTGAGACTGTCAGTGTTGGCGTGTGTGTGTGTGTTAGTAAAGCTGCATCTCTCCTCAGGTGGAGTACAACAAGAAGACGGTGGTGGTGGACGCGCGGCTGAGGAAGGCCGTGATCCCGAACCTGGAGCCGAACACCAGCTACGACTTCAAGATCACGCGTGAGTCTTCAGGGAACATGAGCGGCCTCAGACACCGCATACACGCCAAAACATCTCCACGAATCCTGATCCGCCGGCCCGAGCTGGACCACACCCGCGAGACCGAGACCACCCTCACCCTCATACTGCCCTCTCTGGACAGCCAGAGCAACGTCAGGTACACACACACACACACACACACACACACATATAGAGAGAGTGAGAAAGTCTAACATTTGTGGAAACACTCTTTCTCACACACAAACGTGGTTCACGCACACCCATTTACAGTACACAGAGAGGACATATGAATAATGCATGACATACACACACACACACACTCTGCATGTGCACTCACACAAATTTACAGTACATTGGGAGGACATATGAATCATGCATGACGTGCACACACACACACACACACACACACACACACCGCTGCTGCTCTGCTGTGAATAATTCAGGGCTGCAGTCACTCTGTGCTTCTGGCTGCTCCTGCAGACTCTGCTGAGCTCAGGAGGAAGATCATTCCAGATCCTCACTGACACACACACACACACACACACACACACACACAGCACGCTCCGCACACACTCCGTCTGTCCATCATGCTTGATGGGGACTGCAGCTCAGGGATGCACATCGTCTGAGGAGGAGAGAGACGATGGATTATAACTGATGATGACTCTAAAACGATGATGTGTGTGTGTGTGTGTGTGTGTGTGTGTGTCTCTGTGTGTGTGTGCGTGCGTGTGTGAATCTGCAGGAACATCTATGTGGTGGTGGTTCCTCTGAAGAGAGGCAGAGGAGTGAACCGACAGCTGAAGAGTCCTGATGAGATGGACCTGGAGGAGGTAAAACTCCACAGCAGCAGCAACACTCACCCTGGCCTGCACAGCGCTGGAGTTATAGATATATAATACACACGCACACACACACGCACACACACGCACGCGAGAGCACTAATGCAGAGCTGCTGCCTCTGTGAGGAACAGTGACGTCTGATAGAGTATAGAAATGTTTGTATATTAAATGGCAGGAAGAATACATCATAACAACTACTCAGAACATCCTAGCAACCACTCAGAAACCCTAGCAACCACTAAGAATATCCTAAAAACACTCAGAAAACCCTAGCAACCACTCAGAACACCATAGAAACCTTTATGAATATCCTAGAAACCACCCAGAACACATCCTGTCAACCATTTAGAACACCATAGCAACCACTAAGGACACTCTAGCAACCACTTGGAACACCATAGCAACCACTAAGAATATATAAGAGACTAGTCAGAATATTCTATTAACCAATCAGAAACCATAGCGATTAGTAAGAATATGCTAGAAACTACTCAGAATGCTCTAGCAACCACTCAGAATGCTCTAATTACCACCCACCAACCCTAGCAACCCTTGAGAGTATCCTAGAAACACTCAACATCCTGTCAACCATTCAGAATGCCCAGTCAACCACTCTGAACACCATAGCAACCTCTAGGAATATCCTAGGGACTACTCAGAACATTCTAGCAACCACTCTGAAACCCTAGCAACCATCAAGAATATCCTAGAAACCGCTCAAAACACCCTATCAATCATTTAAATCACCATAGCAACCTCCCAGAACACCATAGAAACCACTAAGAATGTTTTTGAAACTACTTAGAACACCCTAGCAACCACTCAGAACACTCTAGCAACCACTTGGAACACCATAACAAACACTAAGAATAAACAAAAACATCTACAAACACCCTAGCAACGACTCAGAACACCCTGTAAATCCCTAAGAATATGCAGAAATGACTTAGAACACCCTAGCAACAACAGAAGAGCATCCTATCAACCACTTGGAACACTATAGCAACCACTAAGAACATACTAGAAACAACTCAGAATCCTCTAGCAACCACCCAGAACATCAAATAGTGCACTCAAACCATCATAGCAACTACCCAGAACACCCTATCAACCACTCCGAACACCATAGAAACCACTCAAAAAACCCTAGCAACCTCTCTAACACCCTAGCAACCACTCAACCACCTAGCAACCTCTCAGGACATTGTAGTAATCACTCAAAACACCCTAGCAACCACTCTGGACAACATAGCAACCACTCTGAACACCATAGAAACCACCCAAAACACCCTAGCAACCACTCAACCACCTAGCAGCCACTCTGGATATTGTGGTAATCACTTAGAACACCCTAGCAACCACTCTGGATACCATAGAAACCACTCATAACACCCTAGCAACTACGCTAACTTTCTAGTGCCCTCTAAACCACCCAGCAACCACTCAGATCACCCTAGCTGGCAGTGCTGGAGAGTGTGTGTGTGTGTGACACTGTGTATGTGTGTGTGTGTGTGTGTGTGTGTGTGTGTGTGTGTGTGTGTGTGTGTGTGTGTGTGTGTGTGTGTGTGTGTGTGTGTGACACTGTGTATGTGTGTGTGTGTGTGTGTGTGTGTGTGTGTGTGTGTGTGTGTGTGTGTGTGTGTGTGTGTGTGTGTGCGCGTGTGTGTGTGTACGTGCGTGCGTGTGTGTGACAATATGTGTGTGTGTGTGTGTGTGTGTTTCAGCTGCTGAAGGACATCAGTCAAAAGCAGCGGGACCCACGCCAGCGTCAGGTGGACCTGCGGCGGGCATACATCACTGCCCGCTTCACGCCCGCCACCCTCCCTGCCTTCTTCACCCTGGGGAACCAGCAAGACTACGGCGGCTTCGACAACCGTGCGCTGGAGGCGGGACAGGAGTATGTGTTCTTCATCCTGGCAGAGCTCAACTCCACCACCGGGGTAAGAGGAGCCAGCCGAGTGTGTGTTTCAGTGTGTGTGTGTGTGTGTGTGTGTGTAACTGTGCTGTGTGTTGTGTGTTCAGAAGATGTTTGTGGCCAGCCCGTACACAGACCCGGTGATCGCTCCAGACTCGGACCCGCAGCCGCTGGATGCCGGTGACGGCCTGATCTGGGTGGTGGGACCCGTGCTGGCGGTCGTCTTCATCATCTGCATCGTCATCGCCATCCTGCTCTACAAGAAGTGCGTCTCAACAGCACTCACACACGCACACATGCACACACACACACACACATACACATCCACACATACACCCACACATGTACACACATGCAAACACACATACACACTCAGATGTACACACATTCACAAAAATACACACATATACACACTTACATACACACACATATACACATGCTGAAAGACAAATACATACACAAACGTATACACACACACACATATATGCACACAAAAACACACAGACATAAACACACACACACACACACATACAAATGTACACAGATACAAACAGACATACACATACAGACACATACATATACACATGCACTTACACAGACCTTACACACACTTGCGCGCACACACACACACGCGCGTCTTTACCTAAATACCCTCATAAGTCTGTAATGTGCATTACTGTGAGCAAACCCAGAGTTCTGCTGTAGCCAGTGCTGGTTACCCTGGTGATGAGCAGGTGTGTGTGTGTGTGTGTGTGTGTGTGTGTGTGTGTGTGTGTGTGTGTGTGTGTGTGTGTGTGTGTGTGTGTGTGTGTGTGTGTGTGTGTGTGTGTGTGTGTGTGTGTGTGAGGATGGAAATGAGGAGAATAATGAGTGATTAAATATGCAGGAGCTGCTATTCCAGTGCAGATGATGGAGCGGTGTGATGGAGGAGCAGATATTAATATCCACACGCCTGCAGCAGTGCTCAGATACTTCTCACCAGATCATGAAGGATGAGCTCCATCACACACACACACACACACACACACTCTAC